TACCAGGCAGGACCCACTTCCTGCCCCGGCTACCATTTCAGGTCTGACTATAGCTTGTGGATGGCACCTGGGAGGCTGGCTCCAGACCCCAACTCCTCTGCTTTGTGCAAACTGAACATTCTTCTCTAACTGCAGACCGCCAGTCTCTCACCTTCCACCTCCCACCTGCCACCTTTCCTAAATATGGCCCACAGACTGTGATGCAAACTCCTCTAACACAGCTTACAACACCAGCATCACCTGGCTCTGATGTCCTCACAAACCCTCTGGTTGAGCCACATGGACCTATGAACGTTCTTTGACCTCACGGAGATCCTTCCCATCTCCAGACATTTGCTCATGCTACCTGATCTGAACAGAGTTTCCAAACATCAGGTGTTTTGATAATACAATTCCAGTTTACATCGTAACCTCTTTGAGGACTGGGGTGACCCCTCATGTTCTATGACCCACATCCTGTTCACTTAGGTCAAAGCCCCTGCATCCCATGAGGGTTAAGTAAATGCTGACAGGACATCATAAACACAGCCTCTATCCCTAGATCAGCAGTCCCCAACCTTTTTAGTACCAGGGACCAGTTTCATGGAAGGAAATTTTCCATAGCCCCCGGGGGTAGTGGGAAGCTCAGGGGGAAAATCTTTGCTGGCTGGCCCGCTGATCACCTCCTGATGTGCGGCCTGGTTCCTAACAGGCCACAGACATGTACCAGGCACTGCCCAGGGGTTGGGGCGTGCTGCCCAGGGTTTGCCCAGAGATTAGGGACTGCAGCCCTGGATGGTTATGGAGGCCCTCCCGCAAACTTTATAACACCCACTTCAGACAGAAAATGGCTCTGGTTTTTTTTTAACTCTTTGTTATGTAAATTAAAGTGGGAGTTTTTTAAAAAAATTGAAAAACAACCAGCTGTGTAAATTTCAGCCAGAGCCCCAAGAAAAAATCTATGAAGAAAACTACTCTTGACATGGAACATAAACCTACTGCAATCATAATTGCAATGGACAGAGAGCTGATTTCAAAATAGACCTTGGAGAGCTTCTGGTACAACCTTCCCATTTTACAGAAGTAGAAACTGAGATTCCAATAAGTGAAATCTCCACCCAGCATCATCACACAGCTAAGAGGCAGGGGTAACCAGGACAAAAAAACTGGTTCTCTGCCCTAACATTTAGGTTCCCCCCTAACATTTATATATTTTCATTTTAATTTATTTTTATTACAAAATTAATTACAAACTTACTTAAAAATATAAGCCACAGAGAAGTTCTGTATGCATTTTCTGCTCTTTGCACTGTGTCTCAATGGGTCTCTGAAAAATGGGGTCTCTGTATTTACTGGCAGAACCGCCAGAGCCTTCCAGGACTTAGACCTCATGTGGTTTCTCACCCTCCAGACTAGCCGTAAACACTGCCAACACTGGCAACACAGACAACGACAGCTGCAGGTTGTGCAATGGAAGGCAGTCTCCACTTCCTAATGTGGACCTAGACGGTTCTTGGTGGTCTGAAGTTTCCCTCTCACTGATTATTTTAAAAGGACTCAAATTAAGTTGGTCCCCAGACAAGCTCTGATTTTGGCAAGCCCCTCAATCAATATGCAAGGAGTGACCAGAACTCACTCCCACTCTACTGGCAGGATGTGTTCAGGACCCTGCAGGCCTGATGTCTGCCCTCAGTTCACGCTACTGTCTTCCAGACGTAGTAAGAGGGCCACCTCTCTGCCTTGCCCCAACCACTACTAGGGCACTGCTAATCTATGAGTCTGCTAATCTAAGTCTAGGAAGACAGCGTTTTCTTGTCCACCTCGTCTACTAGGCTGTGCTCTCCCTAGCACCCAGCACAGTGTGGGCACCAAGCAGATGTTCCATAAACACGGTATATGTGTGTGTATGTGTGACTGTGCATGCACACACACTATATATGTACATTTTATATACAAACATGTCTATTTTAACATATACTTCTTCAATATATGCTTGTTTTGTATATACATGGCACATACATATATATTTATGTTTTTTATATATAGACATGTTTATATATAAGCATGTTTACCTATAGCACATAGGTGTTCAGTGAATAACTATTTTATACATAATGTATACACACACACACACACACACACACGCACGCACACCTGAGTACATGTATGAGTGAATAAATAGGTGAGAAACAAGACATGGTTTAAAAGCAGAACAGGGCCGGGCGCGGTGGCTCACGCCTGTAATCCTAGCTCTCTGGGAGGCCGAGGCGGGCGGATTGCTCGAGGTCAGGAGTTCGAAACCAGCCTGAGCAAGAGCGAGACCCCGTCTCTACTATAAAATAGAAAGAAATTAATTGGCCAACTAATATATATACAAAAAATTAGCCGGGCATGGTGGCGAATGCCTGTAGTCCCAGCTACTCGGGAGGCTGAGGCAGGAGGATTGCTTGAGCCAGGAGTTTGAGGTTGCTATGAGCTAGGCTGACGCCATGGCACTCACTCTAGCCTGGGCAACAAATCTCAAAAAAAAAAAAAAAAAAAAAAAAAAAAAAAAAAAAAAAAAAAAGCAGAACAGGCAGAGGAGCTGAAATGAAAACTCCAGGAGGGCAAATGCTGTGTCTCACTCTTCACAGCATTCCCAGGCCCCAACACAGTGCCTGCCTGGCACTTAGTATGTGCTCAATAAATACTGGTCAAATGGATTCCCCTCCAAAACTCATGTTGAAACTTAATCCGCAATGTGGCAGTATTGAGAGGTGGGGTCTTTTAAGAGGTGATTGGTCATAAGGGCTCTGCTCTCGGGAATGGATTAATCAATCCATGGATTAATGGATAAATTATCTTGGGAGGAACGCTGGTGGATTTATAAGAGGAGGAAGAGAGACCTGAGCTAGCACATGAGCTCGCTCACCCCCCTGGCCATGTGATGCCCTCAATGCCTCGGGACTCTGCAGTCTCCCCACCTGCACGAAGGCCCTCACCAGATGCAGCCCCTCGACCGGGAACTTCTCAGCCTCCATAACTGTAAGAAATAAATTCCTTTTCATTATAAATTGCCCAGTTTCAGGTTTTCTGTTATAAGCAACAGAAAACGGACTGAGACATGGCTGAACAACCAGCCTCGTTTCATTTGATGACCATTTACTGAGCAAGTAACCATTTACTTACCAAGCACCAAGGACCATGCCAGGCTCTGGGAAGCCGAGGTAAGGGAACAGAGAGATGAGGTCCCTGCCTTCACAGGAGGAGACCTAATAATGAAGAGGTGAGCAAACTGCACACACTCTATGCACATCAAGAGAAGGGCTTTGCAGGGAAGGAACAGAAATAGAGTAAAGGCGACAGCTATAAGAAAGACTCTCAGAGAAGGATAGACTGAAACTGAGGAAGGAGGAGGCTGCTTTGCAAAGAGCCAGGAACACATCAGGCAGAGGGAACAGCACAAAGCCAGGGAACAGAAAGAAGCCAGTGGGCTGCAGCCAGGGAGGAAGGGCAGAGAGCTCAGAGGAAGACAGGGGCTGGGATCTCAGACCTTGGGTTTTGTTTAGTTTTTAAGTAACTGCAGGAAGCTACTGAGGGTTTTAAGCAGAGGAATAGTATGATCCAATTTACATTCTTAAACTATCTGGCATGATATGGAAAATAGAGAGGGAGAAATGTCCCCTCAGCATCCTGCCCATTTGTCAAAGAGTGAGAAACAACCCTACGATTAACACGGATTCAAACATCATTAATGAAAAGAATTCAGGGCAAGAAGGAAGAACAACCTTTCCTCTACAGTAAGACAGCGTTTCCTGGCTGTCCTTAAATGCTTAAAAACACAGATGGGGCCTGCGCTGGGTGAGCAAGGCTGGGGTGAGCAGGGTAGGTGGGTACAGGCTCCCGGTCATTCATCTTGTTCATTACAGGACCCAACGTCCTCCCGTACAAATGTGCTCTTCATCTAGTTCTCCTAGCTATCAAGCTACACATGGCACTTCTTGATAACTCTGTCTTCCTGCCCCCCACCCACATTGTTTAATGTTTAACACATTAAACAAGTGCCAAGTTTTGTCAATTCCATCTCCATGGTAGTTCTCGAATCCATTCTCTCCTCTCAATGTCCAGCACCACTGCCTTACTGCTGGCCACGACACCCTTAGAAACAATCTCCTAATGGTGTCCCTCTCTCTCTAGCCTGCCTCTCTTCCACAATGGCACAACATCAGTGATTTTTCTAGAAATCATAAATCGGCCTGCACCACTCTTCTGCGTACAATCCTTCCTAGAGCAGACACACCCCACCTTCTCCTGGTGGGGGTCAGCCACGTGTTTGGGCAGGACCATCCATATATCCCTTAAGGACTGCCCCTGGCTGGCCTGAGGCAAGTCTTCTAGTCCTGATGCTTTGCCCCCGAGCAGTTCAAGTAAGAGGGAACCTGAGCCAGAAGTCCCAGTCCCTGGCCAAAGGGACTGGCTCCAGGCTACACACATAACCTAGGCTGGTCCAACAGGAACTGGGCAAGAGAGGTGGATGTAAAGCTCGGAATGGCTGCAGCCACATCACCAACACGAGGGAGGCAGTCTGAGGATAAAACTCACACAGGAAGGAAGAGCTAAGAGAACAGCAGAGAAATAAGCAAGGGCCCAGATCAAACCCCACCTGAAGCCTGCCCTACCCCTGGACGTTTCAATTATACATCTTCTTGAGTTCTCTTTCCTAGCTAAGCCAGCTTGAGTTGAGTTCACTGTTATCAGCAACCATAAGTGCATATACTCACTACAATCTCAAAATAAAGTACAAACTCCTCAGCATGGCATACGACAGCAGTCAGCAAACTACAGCTCACAGGCCGACTCAGGCCCATTGCCTGTTTTGGTAAATAAAGTTTTGTTTTAACACAGCTATGCCCATGCATTATGGATTGCTGATGGCTGCTTAGGCACGACAACAGCGCAGTAGAACAGATGCAGCAGAGACCATATGGCCAGCAAAGCCTATTTTCTTATTTACAGAAGAAATTTGCAAACCTCTGACATACCAGTCATACATGTTTTGGCTTCTGCCTTCCCTTCCAGGTGACCAGCCACCACTCTCTGCCTCCTGGTGGATTACGATGGATCCTGTGGGCACACCCTCCCTGTTACCCGTTCTGCCTAGCTGACTCTTTACACCCTACTGACCTTGGCTCGGGCATCACCTCTCTTTGAGGGTCCCCTGTCAGGATTAGGAGTCCCTTGTGAAACCACAGCCCCTCTGCCCACACCTATTCTCCCACCATGCTGGAAAGGATTACCCAGCTGTGTGTCTGTCTCCACCTCTGGTCTAAAGGCTCCTGAAAGGCTGGGAATATCACTTTTATATGTTGAGTTGTGTCTCCCTAAAATTCAGACGTTGAAGTCCTAACTCCCAATACCAAAGAATGTGGCCTTATTTGGTAGTAGGGTCTTTGCAGATGCAATTGGTTACGATGAGGTCACACTGGAGTAGGACAGGCCCTAAATACAGTGACTGGTGTCCTTATGAGACAACAACCAGGTGAAGACACAGACACACACATGGGAAGAATGCCACGTGAACATAAAGGCAGAGATATGGGAGACACGTCTATAAGCCCAGGAACAGCAAGGATTGCCCACAGAGACCAGCAGCTAGGAGAGGGGAACATTCTCCGTCACAGCCCTCAGTAGGAACCAACCCTGCCAAGAACTGCTCTCAGACAACAAATGTCTGTAAGTCTCCCAGGTTGGGGCACTTTGTCACAGCAGCCCCAGCAAGCTCAGACAGGCGTCTTTATCTCTGCGTCCCCGTGCTCAGCACAGTGCCTGACATGCAGAAGGCAGCTCAATGTTTACTGAGCAGAACCACAGTAGCCTGGGTTTTCAAGGCATCAGGCTGGTGGGTGTCGGGAGATAGAGAAGCACCCAAAGCAAGCTCCCCTGTCTCACCATGTGACCATGGCAGGGACAGGGTGCCTCACGACAGCCTCGGCAGGACACAGCAGTCAGGGCTGCGGAATACAGACAACAGAAATCAGCTATGACTAGTGTCTGGGAAAAACAAGTTGATGAGAAGCTATGGGGCATTCCCAGAATCGACAGGCAAACTGGAGAACCACGCTTGGACAAAGGATCAAGGGATACTGGGCAGAGGGAAAATGTGGCCATGGCCATGCCACAGGATGTCTGCTTAGGACAATTGCCACCTGCACTAGACTCTCAGCTCTGAATGACCTCTAAGTGCCCCTGTGTCTGTGCAGCACTCCGTCTAGAGTTGAAGCCGAGGGTGGCAGTGCCCATGTGGCCATGCTGAGGTCATATGCTGGTGCCCGTGAGGCTGCAAGAAAGACCATCTGGTCCACCTCAGCTTCCACACTGGGAGGCAGGGCTTTGCCTCCCTCCAAGACTGGGGGTTCCCCCAAATAGACAGGTGGGTATGATGCTGCATACCCCAAAATATAAAAAGTGTCCATAAGACATGCTAACACACCAAACCACAGAATTAAGTAAATGCAGATCCATGAGTCCCGTCTTGCCATCTCTGGGTCCCACAGGATGCATTCAGGGGCTCCCAGGCGGGCGGAAGTGAGGGAGAGGTCTCTGCATGTCTACATAGCCCCAGAGCCTAGTGTGAACAAAGGAAGTGTTTCTTCATCTCTCACCACAGAGAGCAAGTGTGAAGCAGGATTTCAAGCATCTGCTATTGCAAAAGATCGAAAGTAGTAGCAAAAGGTCGTTTTCAGAAACATCCTTCTTCTCCTATCCCATAAAGCCATTCGGCATCAGCTACATTCTGGATAACTTAATTGCATTGGCTACATTCTGGATAACTTAATTGCCATTGTCTGAAGTGCATTCATTCATTCATTTAGCAAACTGTCCCAAGACTCAGATGTGTCAGGCCCTGTGCTGTCTATTTGGGTTAGAAAGATGAATCTATCGCTCTCTCTCACCTCCAGAAGTTCGGTCACTGCAGAAGACAACACAGAGCCAGCTTCGCCTTGGAGACAGCAAGTTCAATGGAGGGTTGGAGGTTACTAATGTGAATATGTGCTTGAGGCTTTTTTAATATTTGCTGGGCATCACTCCATTTCTCTATACATACACACACACATACACACACACACACATTTCCTCCCCATGAGTCACCTCCCTAGTCAGCCACCAGCCCCAGGACAGCACTGAGAACTAGGCCTGGGTGTCCAAAGCTGGGTCCTCTTAGGAAGGGCCACGAGCTACTGGACTGGCTGCCGATGTCAAGCCTTGGGCAGTCGGCCTCCCTGGGTGAGGCGACCAGAGGCAGAGGCTGACACTGTCACCCGGCTGGCCGTGTTCAAGGACAAGACCCTAGCTCTTGGCCAACAGCAGGTCCTCAGGAAACTGGAGGATGAAGCTTGTCTTAGGTGTCCCTACTCTACCCTCCACACACCATCACACCAACACCTACTGTCTGCACCACACTTTCCGGCTCATGAAACCCTCTTACGTACATTCGCTCCTTCATCGTTCACTCATTGAGTGCCTGGTGTATGAGAGGCACTCTCTGCTTAGAGCCAGGAATCTAAAGAGTAATAAAACACAGCCCCCTTCCTTTTGGGATGCCACTTCCTCTGGGAAGCCCTCTGTGATCTCTCGGGCTGGAGCCCAGGCTTCCCGACAGCACAGCACTCTGCATCAGGGCTGGCTCTCTCTCCGTGCCAACCCCCTGGGGCAGATAAAGAAGGGACTCATCCTCCTCCTACACCACTGCGCCCCCAGGGCACAGTGCCTGGCACACAGTGGGAGCAGAAAGACCGTCTTGTGTAATTACCAATGGGGGCACCTAGGAGGACAGCAGGCCATGGGGAAACCGAAACCAAGTGGAAAAGAGCAGGTGAGACTCTTGGGGTGAGAATCTGGCATTATCCTTCTCTCCTCAGTTTGTAGATTAGACAATTTATCTCAGAGAGCTTGCGTGACTTGTCCGATATTTTAGTGCTAGCAAAACTAGATGGGCCCCTAATCTCATTCTCTTCATACCAATTTCCAAACCAACTCTCTCCATCCCAGCCAGCTTTTAGTTCCCCCTGTCCTCAGGGGCCACAGAGCTCTGCCTTCCTGTCGTCACCTTATTGTTGGGGACCTGACGTATCCTCCCCCTGCGGTACTATTTTTAAGATACTCTGAAGACAGAAACCTGTGGTTAAAACAAAGAAATGGATTCCAATGGTGGAATGTCAGTTCCAATGTCAATTCATCTATTCATTCAACAAATACGTACTGCGCATGCTCTGTTCTAGGCGCAGAGATACAGGAGTGAACACAGGCAAACTGGCTGCCCTGAGGGATGACCACGAAACGGTGTTATGAAAATCTGGGGTCCCTGTGTTGAATAACTGAATGAATGAACGAATTGCAAGTAATGCCAAGTGATCTATTCAAGATGTAACTTAAGCTGATGCAGAGCACGTGGTCCATAGGAGACGAGGGTGGCGTGGAGACCACACAATTCTGCACCCCCAGACCACTCCGTTTTCTACTGGGGGAGCCCCTGTTCCCCTTCACTCTCCTTTCAACATCCGCAGTACAAGAGAGACAGAATGAGCCTCCCTTTTTGGCCACTGCTAGCTTCCTAATTAAAGTCAAAGATTTGTGTTTATTCAGGGTCTATAAAAACAGACCCAAAAAGAGTGTTTAAGAGAAAGCAGATGAAATGTGGGTAAGGACTAGCTAATAAAATCAGGGGGAAATGCTGTGAGTTTTCAGTCACGACTATGATTAAACAAAACTTGCAGGAGGACGCTTTGAGGGCCGAGCACATAAATGTGTGCCGTGCCTGAGTTTCCAGGGTAAAATGTAAACCATAACTTCCTGCAGAATTAATTGGTCCCCGGTGGGGGATACGTGCTAAGTTCCTCTGGACTGAGCCAGAGATCACGATGCAGCGAATGTGGTTTCCCCTTCCCCCTCCTGCCACTAGGTTGTCACACGGCCTGTCAAGACTGCATTTAAAAACGCTGTGGATTTTCAGGTTCACAGGGGACAGCCTTCAAAGGAAGAACCTGTGCTCAGATTACAAGAGGTACCTAAGGAAGTGTTACAAGCTGAGGGTGCCTCTTCCAGAACATTCACTGTCAGCGAGGATGACTCAGGGCCTCAGTCTCCTTACCCGGCCACTACACTAGACCCTGGCTAAGGTGTCTTCCAACCACAGCTTCACATACACTAGGTTCTTCCAAGCAGGGACCTGGGGTGCAGAGGGTCACCCCTGTTCTGAAACGTGAGAGTATGGCCTGAATTTGAAAATGAGTGGCAAAGGCAGGAGGAGCCCAGAAGCCCTAAGGAATTCCTCCCAAGGAAGTGGATGACCTCCCAGAGATCAAAGGGGGTGGCCCTAATGAAACCCTAATGAATAAGTTTCCACAATTAAGGACAACAATAGGAGAGCCACCAGTGTGGCCCAGAAAACAATCAATGTCTTTGATTAAGAGCTGCTGATGAAATTCCACATTGGTGCTTTCATCTGGCTCCCCTGAGAGTTTGTTGGCTTTGCAAGTTTTCAGAGAAAATCATCTTGAATATACATTATTCCCCAAGTCACTAAACAGAGCTTGGCCCTCCTGCCTCCTCCCTCTGGAGGTTTCCCAGATGAGTCTTTAATGTCAGACAGTAGCAACCTCACAGTACTCAGTGGGTCCAGGCTTGGCTCTTTTTGGGCAAGACCATCTCTCTCACCAGCTTTCCCACCATGCAGGTCCAACTACCTTACCAGAGCCTTGGTTTACCAACAGTTTTCTGGACTTGGTGCTGGAGCCAATCTCCCTGGGCTGGGACCAATCTCTCATAATGCTGAGGCTCCAATAGCAATAGAAGCACCGTCTGGATATTGGCTTAGTTTTCATACGGGAGTGAAATCCATCCTGAGTCAACTCCAAGTCAACCAGGATCCCTGAACCATTCTGAGTATAAATGGTCAAGGTCAAAACAGAGTGTTGAAGGACTGCTCCAAAGTGAGACATTCACACCTAGGTGTGAATGCTGTCCTGCCTGCCTGCTTTAGCACCTGCTGTGCCCTCTGTCTGAAATCTGCTCCCTTCAAAACTGGTCTTCTTTTTTTTTTTAAGACAGAGTCTCGCTTTGTTGTCCAGGCTAGAGTGAGTGCCGTGGCGTCAGCCTAGCTCACAGCAACCTCAAACTCCTGGGCTTGAGTGATCCTTCTGCCTCAGCCTCCCGAGTAGCTGGGACTACAGGCATGCGCCACCATGCCCGGCTAATTTTTTATATATATATATCAGTTGGCCAATTAATTTCTTTCTATTTATAGTAGAGACCGGGTCTCGCTCTTGCTCAGGCTGGTTTTGAACTCCTGACCTTGAGCAATCCGCCCGCCTCGGCCTCCCAAGAGCTAGGATTACAGGCGTGAGCCACAGCGCCCGGCCTAAAACTGGTCTTCTTTATGAGGCCTTCCCCTACCCCTCAGACAGTAGTTC